ATGATGGGGATGGCGATGATGATGGTGGCTGGCATTACTGAATGCTGACTAGGCGCCAGGGTCAGTGCTGAGACCTTAATGTCTGCACCCCGTACTTCCCACCACCCATAGAGATGTGCTCTTGCTCTTCCCACTGCACAGGCTCAGAAGCCCTGGGTCGCAGCGCCGTGGGCTGCAGAGCTGGGATATGGCTTCGGGCTGTCCCATCCTTGCTCCTGTCCCTCATGGTCCAAGGTGGCCTCTGGTACATTTTTGTCTACTTATGTTGGGGACTCCAACGTCCTGCCAGTGGCCCCTGGGATTTGCATTCTGGCTCCCTGATGGGGCCTTAGAGCGAAGGAAGCGGTGTCTTCCCCAGCAGCTGTCAGTTCTATGAGAAATAAACAGCCTGACTCATCAGGATGGACCACAGAACGTTAGGTCTGGGGGACCGGAGGTCTCTTGGTGCAGAGGAGGAAATGGGGCTCAGAGAGGTGTCTGGAGCAAGGCCCTCATGGGACGGGTGTTTGGGGCAGTGGAGGCGGGTTCCCACCCAGGCAAGAGGAGGACACAGAAAAGCGGTGTTACTGTTCATAGCGCTGGTGTCACTGCAGAGCCATCCTGCACACTGGGGCCTGTCACAGAGGAGGGAACCCAGACTTAGAGGTTAAATCACTGGTCAAGCTCACCCAGCTGGTAAGCAGGTGGCCGGGGTCAAAGCCAGGCACCTGGCTGCCTCTTCCGGGAGGCCCTGGCTCATGGGGCCAGGCCTCTGTCCTAGTCAGCTCTGGGCTGTGGCCGGGGCAGTCTGCTGACCGGTGCTTTCTGGGGGCAGCAGGGGAGCCGAGGGGCACGGCTGAGGCCTCTGGGCGAGGAGGAAGTGTGCTCGGTTGCCCCAGAGCTGTTCCAGCACACAGCGGGTGAAGCAACCCGTAGCACTGCCTCACACAAGGAAAGGCCTAACACGCTCTTCTAGAAGTTGTGGACTTGGGTACCCCCGTTCCGGTCACCCCCCCCAACCTGTGTAAATAAGTCGATGGCAGGGGTCCCCTGTTCTCAGCTCCGCAGGGACGAGGTGATGAGTGACCTGGTGGGTGAAGGGTGGCAGGGAGGCTGGACGCCACGGCCTTCAGATGCTGCCGGGCTTGATTTCCCCATTTTTCTGGAGAGATCAGAAGTCTAGGTTTTTATGTGAAACCTTCCCGAGTGAAATGTTGACCACAGACCTGCGTTAACAACGCCCCAGTGTGCTGGCAGATCCAGATGCGCCCGTGGCTGTGTTCGCGACGTTCGGGGGTGAAGGCGGGGGCTGAACTCGGACAGCGGGGGGCACCGTGCTGAGGACCACAGAGGCAGAGCCGATCTGCTGGGGACGAGGGAATCCAGTGTCCCCAACTCGGCAGTCATGCTGTCCAAGCAGACGCCTTAGCCCGTCTACACCCGTTTCCTTACCTGTAATAGTCACCTCTGCCTCAGGGCCGTTGTGAGGATTAAATGTGCTCATAGGTCCGGTGCAGTAGAAACAGCACCTGGTATCTACTGCAGAGACCCGGACTTAGGATTTGGAACTTCAGGCATCTCATCTACACAGCTAGTGGCTTGTCCTGTTAATCCTGATTTATCTAGTCGTAGCTGCTCGTGGGGTGCTTACGTGTGCTGAGTGCAAACAGGAGCCCATGCCATCCTCAGCCGCCAGAGGAGGTGGGTGCCACTATTCTCTCTGCTGATGGGGAAGCTGAGGCACAGAGTGGTGAAGTTGCTTGCCCCTGGTCACACAGCTGGGCTCCCATGTCAGGGTGCCTGTGCTCCTAGCATTGTCCCCTGGTTGGCGGGTGGCTGTTGGGGGGCAGGACAGGTGGCGGAGCCTGCTGAGACTTGCGGAAGGTCCTGGTGGTGGCTTCTCCTCTGCGGCTCGCCTGTCGGGGGCAGTGGTCCTCGCTCAGGCCCTGCCAGCTCGAACCTTCCCCCAGCTGTGCTGCCCTGTGGTTCCGGGGCCCCTGGGAGAGCCTCGCATGGGCATCTGGGGAGCTCCCCCGGAAGCAGCCAGTTCTCCCGGCCGTGAGGCGCACTGCTAGGAGGGCAGCCGAGGCAGCGACAGGGCACAGGTGCGGAGTGGTGATAGAGTCATCGGGGACGGCGTTCAGGATTGTTCTGGAGTGAAGGAAGTGGAGCGTGTCAGCCCCGCCGGGCTTGCTTTCCCCATTTTGCAGATGTTACAGACCCAGCTTGGTGGGCAGGATGGTGAACCGGGTGTAACAGGGCGCGAGGTCACATGCTGGCGCTGCTGTTTCCTGGCCGGGCGACCCCACCTGGGCCTCAGTGTTCCCACATGTCACATAAGTGAATTGGACTGGGACACCTGAGCTCCCAACTCGGCATGATTCCAGCCGATTCCATGCTGCTTAACTCCAACATGGGAGAAAATGGAGCCATTGAACGGCGGCGGGGGAGTCTTCATTACTCCATTGAGCAAATGATTTTTTAAAAGATTTATTTGTCAGAGGAGAGAGAGGGAACACAAGCAGGGGGAGTGGGAGAGGGGGAAGCAGGCTCCCCGCCGAGCAGGGAGCCCGATGCGGGGCTCGATCCCAGGACCCTGGGACCATGACCTGAGCCGAAGGCAGACGCTTAACGACTGAGCCGCCCAGGCGCCGCTGAGCAAATGATGCTTAAGCAGAGCCCAGTGGGAAGGGCCCGGGGACCAGCTGCGCTCTTCAGAATTCTGGTCCCATGGCACCACCTGCCTGAGGCTCGGAGACCCGTTTTCTCCCTTTAAGAAGGAGTTTGCCCGGAGTTGGTTTTAAGGATCCACCAGCAGCAAGCTGGGGCTTCTTGAGGTGACCAGAGCCTGAGAGAATATTGTGGCGCCCGCCGCCCTCCCTCAGTCCCTCAGTGTAGCACATGCGGGGAGACGTTCACTTAATTTGAACGTTTTTCAGACTCCTGAGAATAGGTGTAGATGAAGGGTTTTGGATTCACCATTTGAAATCGCCGGAACCCCAAGGGGACTGCATTTGTCAAGGAGAGGATCGCGTCTTTGGTTCCCCTGCCCTGGAATGCGAATCTCGCATTTGCGTCGGTGATGAATTCGGGAGCAGGCCCCTTGGTTACGTAGCACGTGAGACAGTGTATGCGTGTGGCGTACGTGCGTATTACAGGACAGCGTGGGCGAGTCAGTCACATTAGGATCGGGGAGGTGGAGCGGTTTTACGAACTTCTAAACTGTACGGGTCAGCGCGACCTCCGCCGGGAGAATGGAGTGCGCTGTGGGGGTGTTTTACATTGAGTCATTGGTTTCCTTAGTAATTCTGTATATTCATGCATGCTTAAAAAAAAAATGCTTTCTAGAAGGGTGCATGAACTTCCTCGAATGCCCAGAGGTCCCAGGCACCCGAGAACTGAACCCGCCTCTGCGCCGAGAGGCCTGGCTCCCCCTTCCCTGCAGCCCCTGACCGGTGCCCCTCCCACCCGCAGCCTTCTCCCAGATGGTCATCAGCTTCTACTACGGGGGCAAGCTGGTGGGCCAGACCACCACCACCTGCCCCGAGGGCTGCCGCCTGTCCCTGGGCCAGCCGGGCCTGCCAGGCACCAAGCTGTACGGCCCCGAGGGCCTGGAGCTGGTGCGCTTCCCGCCGGCGGATGCCATCCCCAGCGAGCGGCAGCGGCAGGTGACGCGGAAGCTGTTCGGGCACCTGGAGCGCGGTGTGCTCCTGCACAGCAGCCGGCAGGGCGTGCTGGTCAAGCGGCTGTGCCAGGGCCGTGTGTTCTGCAGCGGCAACGCCGTGCTCTGCAAGGACCGGCCCAACAAGCTGGAGCGCGACGAGGTGGTCAAGGTCTTCGACACCAGCCAGTTCTTCCGAGGTGGGTCCCGCTGTCGGCGTGCTGCCCCGAGCCTTCCCCTTGTGTTCTGTCCCTTGAGGCCAGGGTGGGCCCGTGGAGGAGCAGGGGACGCGCGGTGCAGGCAGCAGGAGGGCCCCCCCTGGTTCCGGTCCAGCTCGGTGCTTGCTTGCCGAGCAATCCTGGGGAACTGCTCTGTGCCTCTGCGGGGCCGCGGATTAGCATCCCGCCCTGGGTGCTCCTCCTAGAAGGTCAGGGTTGCTGCAATCAGACCAGCTGCATTGCGGCGCTGGCTCCCTGCTGCGTCCCCAGTGCTCTCTGCACCTGGAACAGCACCAGCTCGGGGCAGGTCTCCTGCCACCTGGCCTGAGAACTCCCAGGGGGGTGGGGGCGGCTTCCCTGGAGAAGCGGCGCTATAGAGGGGGGCGAGGTGTGGCGTGGGAGCTCAGGTGTGCAGGCCCTGGGGTGCCTACCTGGGGCAGAGGGGAGTGAGGCTGGGAGCTGTGGTCAGCGCCCCCTTCCCCCCGTGTGCTCCCAGAACTGCAGCAGTTCTATAACAGCCAGAGCCGGCTTCCCGACGGCAGGGTGGTGCTGTGCTTCGGAGAAGAGTTTCCGGATATGACCCCCTTGCGCTCCAAACTCATTCTCGTGCAGGTAAGATCTCCCGGCCCACTCCTCGGGACTCCGTTTATACTTGGGCGGGAGAACAGGCAGCAGGGACTGGGGGACTCCACCTGTGGACAGAGGCAGGCCCGGGGGAGACCTCCACATGGGGCTCGTGGATACTTACCACCTCTCTCCCTCTGTGTTCTCCCCCTGCCTTAAGTCAAAACCCCCTTTCTAGGAAGGTTTAATTGCCTCAAGGTCTGAGAGACAGAATAGACTTTTCAAGCCTTTATTTAATCTAGTCAAAGGAATGAAACTCTAATGGTGGAATTCTGGACACTGGCTACCAGGTTGGGACCGTAGACTTTGCAGCACTACCACTTGCCCTTCCCTTGCACCTGCCTATCTGGGACTCATGTGGAGGTTCTCGGCACTTTGGGTAATCAGAGAATCTGGCCGGGGTCCGAGACCGCCCCACCGCATTTCCCACCTCCACGTCTGACCTGTGCCCGTCCCTCTAGATCGAGCAGCTCTACGTCCGGCAGCTGGTGGAAGAAGCGGGGAAGAGCTGCGGTCCCGGCTCCCTGGTGCAGCCTCCTGAGGAGCCCCAGCCAGACCAGGTCTTCCGGATGTTTCCAGACATCTGTGCCTCACACCAGAGACCTTTTTTCAGAGAAAACCAACAGATCACCGTTTAAGCCTCTCTCTAGGGCACCCCGTCGCACCCCGTCCTGCCCACACCTCGTGTTTCATTATTACAATTACTATTGTAATTATTTAAGGATGTGGATCCCTGTGACCTGGGGCGGGATGCCTCACTTGGCTCTTAATTTAGTAAGGGCGTTCCCTGAGGACTTGACCTTTATACCTGAACAGGAGAAGCATGACTCGACTCTCAAACATTGAAACGTGCCCCCCAAATGACCTGGATGCTGTAACTGTAACCTGTGATTCAAACATTTATTTCCCCTAATTATCATTAGTTGCTAGATTCTTTCAGCATTTGGGGATAACGGATATTTCCAAAGACTTGCCCTTCAATTTTACTAGCTCATAGCTGCTTCCTGGAAAAAGATTTGAAGATCAGCTTGTCAGAACAAGGCTGCTTTTTGTCTTTACCTTGTGTTAGAGCGATTTGATTTCATACGCTTGATTCGATGTGGAGTCTTTTTTTAAACATGTTAATAAGATGCCGAAATACTTAGATAACAATCTCCCTTCAGCAAGAGAAAGCACAACGCCAGGCTTGTTAGAGGAATGGACACCCTGCCTAGGATGTCCTGCCAGGCGGCCGTGTCCATCACCAGATGAACTGGTGTGTCCTCACCTTCACACCATGAAAATCTTCCCTGTGGGCCTTACTGCCCGGAATCTTAGAGCTAAATTTTTCATTTCTATAATTAAATCATTCCCAGATCCCTTGCTCTTTTCTTCTTGCTAAATGGTTTTGACCTGTTTTAAAAATACACATACTTTTACTTGTCCTATTGTAAACTGCTTTGAAAAAAAATTTTTTTTTTTTTATAAAGTGAGCAGGCTATAAACCACAAATTCAAAAGGTAATGGTAGATTGTACAAGCATTTTGGCTGTGCCTTCCATTCAGCGAACCCAGAGCCCAGGCGGTGGTGGGGAGAGGGCGTCACCAGCACCTGGCCTCACCACCCCGGGCCTGGGGTGGATGGTAGCAGGGACAGCGCCTTCCCCTGCGCTGGGACTCCTTGAGGTTCAGGGTGGCCTGGGGCCACACCCAATTCTACTCTTCTTCAGAGTCCTATAGTGAGACACCGAGGGGAGAAGTCCCAGTTTTAGCCCCAGAAGAACTTAGGCTGTTTGCTAGCAAAGAAGATGCATTTACTACCCCACGCGTGTCAGAAGGGCAAGGGCAGGTCAGCCTTGCTGCTGGCCATCTGTCGCACACATGACACATCTCCACAATGGCTCCAAAAACACTTTCATGATTAAAAAGCACTTGGACATTTTTTTCTGGCGGGGGGGAAATATTTTGCTCAGTTGGGGTACCTCTTCCCCGTGTCCGGGGTGATGTGCCAAGACGGGCGGAGGTTGGCCAGCCAGGTGAGTGCGGAGCAGGTGTCTGCCGTGTGCCCCGGGGAGCCAGCTCCGCGCTCAGTGTGGCCACCAGGCGGGGCTGGGGGCTCTCCTTCCGCGCTTGGGGGTGGGGTGGGGTGGGGGGAAGGGTCTTGGCCCACTTCTCTATAACCCAGCCTGGTCACCACCGGCCCCGGCTCGGTCTCACGTGAAAGGGCAGGAAGGGGCCTTACCTGTCAAGGTGCGCTTTGCGAAGTGGGAGAAGCTGGGGTTTGGGGGACAGGGTTGCCTCCTGGCAGCCTCGTAACCATGAGTCTGATTTAAAATCCAAGCCCGAAAATCCCCGGTCACATGCCCTGCGGCCGCTTCTGTGAAGGTGGTGGAGCAAGACTTTGTCATCGTAGGTCCCTCGCACTGTGTTTGAATCCACCTGAAAACAGGGGATTTTGCAGCACAAGTAGCTTTTCCTCTTTGGCCCACAAAGCCAGCATCACATTTTTAAGGATAACAGATCTGTTTTCTGAAATTATGTCCGAACAGTGGGTTTTGGTGTCTAGCTCAAACAAATGGTAAAACATAGATCTTGAATATGCTAAATGAATATTTATTTTTGTATCCACTTAAAACGTATATTGATCTTTTTTGTTTATTAAAATAAAATGCCCTTTTAAAAGCTGATTCATGCTCTGTGTTTTAAGCCACTGTAAAATGTTTCCTCACTTAGGGGGAATTAAAAAACAACACTGCACCGAGTTTTAAGGACTTTCTGCTTGTTTTTCACTCATCCCCAAAACAGCAAAAACGTAGAGAGGCTTGCAGATCATAGAGAACCTTCTGGAGAAAAAGGGCATGCTAGGTTTTTCTGAAAGTGCAGGGGCCCCTTTGTGTGTATTGTGAGGGGTGCGGAGGGAGGAGGAGGTCGGTGGGGATAGGCCTGCCCTGGAAGGCGCTGGGACCCCCCTGGTTGGGTCAGCTGCACGTGACGGGGACGTGCGTCTCTCCATTCACACACGTACTCACTGCGCGGGGTCCCTAGGGGATCCCACATTGGCCATCGTGGAGGTTGCTTCATGGGACATGCCTGTTGAACAGCCCGGGACAAATCAGTTTCAGGGGGGCCCAGACCCCAGCCAACCCAGGGGGGCTTCCCCACCGTGCTCCACCTACAGGCAACGGGCACTGGGACGGTCTCGTCCTCCATGAAGAGATGAGGGAAGGCAGGCACGTCCCCGTGGACAGTGGCCTGTGGCCATTCGTGGCCCGGGACCGCTGAGTGTGAGAGGCTTTCTGACAAGGCCTGGCTGCAGGGCTTGAGCCCCCGGCTGGCTAAACCCCAGGAGAGGCGGCCGTTGGCCAAACGCTGGCTTGCTTAGACATCTCATGAGTCACTAATTCCCGCATGTCGCAAGCAGAAACTTTGTTTATCAGCAAACCCTTTTCTGCTTGTGGATTCAGAGCCAAATGTGGAAACTTGAGGGAGTCTGCTTCTTCCCAGAGCTCAGCACTCCTGTGCAGCCCGTTGGCAGACCCTGCCCCCTCAGCTTCTCGAAGGAGAGAAGGGAGGCTGGGGTGCCCTCGTCTGTGGGGGGCGGGGCTCGGACGAGAGGCCGCAGGAAGAGCCGGGAGCGCGGAAAATGCTGTCAGGGCCGCGCCGGCGACCTTACCTTGGATGTGGGGCCTCCTCTGGACAAGTAGCTTCTGGGACCCAAGGGCAGCCAGTGGGACCGGGTTCACGAGACACTCGGTCAGACAAGTGGCCTTCACTCTTCGTATTCTAGAAACATTTACGCAAGTGAAGCTATTTCAACTGTCACTTGCTGAGCGACTGCCCCTTGGTACACTAACTTTTGCAAAATCCATCTGGGATGGAAAATTTTGGTTTTCCTTTGTAATGTCCAGATGGATGAAGATGCTGACCCCCTGGGGTCAGCATCCCCAGGATCTGTTGGGCCTGGGGTCCTAGGGGAGTCCTCCGGGAATGGGCTGTGGGCAGGCACCCCTGGGTGTTCCTGAGACACCTACTCTCCACATAGCAGCCATGCTGGGAAGCAGGAAGAAGTTATTTGTGTGAGTGATTCAGACTCTCCACAAGAGAAAGTTTTGCAACTCAACTACTCAGAAATATTTAGAAATTCTTTCTAAAGAATGATCTATAACTAATGACTGTAATTTTAACAGCTCAGTGGGCTGAGGGAGGACGGGGGGTGGCTTCTCAGTGGAAAGTGGGGCTGTTTTTACTAAAAGCAGGGGGAAGCAGTAAATGTCTTAACCTACTCATCATCGCCATCCTCCTGGGCAGGGGCACATTCAAGTTCTCGCTCGTGGTAAGAAACTCACTGGAGCCGGCATTTTCCACACTTCCTTGATCTGCCGTGCCTTGCGAGTTGTCTGTGGATACGCGGTGCCTCATGTGGCTCGACCAACTTCAGGCGTCAAGAGGAAAGTGTGCGTATTTCTGTCCTGCTTGGGCTGCCTTTCCATCTCGGTGGAGGCTGCCAGGGATGGGGGGGCCGCCCCTCATACCACCCTCAAACTTACCTTTTACTTTGCTCATGGATTTTGTGGGTCACAATTTAGACAGGACGCAATGGTGTTGGCTTTCCTCCTGCTCCACAGATCTGGGGGGTGAGCTGGGAAGACTCACATGGTGAGGGGGGTGGAATCATCTGGAGGCCTTTCCATCCATGTGTCCAGGGCCTGGGCGGAGGGAGGGGGCTGGGAGGCCGGGCGCAGCTGGGGCCACACGTGGAATCTCCGTGTAGCTGGGGCTTCCTCAAAACATGGCGGCCCCGGGGCAGTCCGGGGGACACGGGACGCTGGACGGTGTTTGTGAACCAGCCTCAACGCCATTTAGAGTGACTTGTGGCATGCTCCGTTGGTCGAAGCAGTCACAGGCCGCCCAGGCTGAGGAGCACGGGCAGGGTCCCCACCTCTCGATGACAGGAGCGCCACAGAGCTAGCAGCCATGTTTGGAAACCGTAGGGCGGGGGGAGGAGGGAGCAGAAGCATCTTCTTTGCTACGCATCCCGCCTACACTTTGTTGAAACATATTTTCTGCCCCCTCCCCGGAAGCCCTGGTTCCTTGAGCCCCAGACAGGTAGACCTTTCCCTCACCCCGCCGTGGGCGCCTGGTCATGGACACTCACCTTCTTCCGAGCGTGGCCCTTCCCTTGGGAATACTGATCCCCAGCCAGGGCGTGAGGCTGGGGTGTGACTGTGTGAGCCCGTCCCCACCAGAGGGGAGCTTCTCGGTGGGGGCGAGGAGCCTGATGGGGTGTTTCCCTGACCCCTCCCTTCCTCTGCTCCTTGCCTCTCGGGGTAAGGTTGGGCCACCTTCCTTGCCGTCACCGCCGACGTGAGGCCTCTGCCAAAACGCGTTGGAGAAAACAGGAGGCAGGAGAAGGCATCAGGCCCTCGGTTAGGGTTTCTGCAGGGCCGGGCACGGCTGTAGCTGAGGGAGTGAGGGCAGGTTGGGCGGGTCCCCCACACCTCAGTTCTCCCACCTGCAGGCTGCTCGGGAGGGCCGCGGTAGCGCACGAAGGCAGCAGAGAACAGCGCTGGGCCAACACTCAGCAGCTGACTGCCGTGGACGGCCATTCCAGAGCAGCCAGGCAGGATTCCGCTGGAGATTCGCCCAGAAGCAGAGCCAGAGACGAGGATGGAGTGTCAGGAGTTTGTGTGTGGGGTCCCGCCAGGACGGGCCAGTGGGGCCGAGGAGAAGCCCATGGAAGTGATCCTGCGGGGCTTGCGGGGCCAGGAAGGGCCAGGCAGGGCAGGCACACAAGGCGGTGGGGCCAGCCCCAGGGGAGGGAGCCAGACCCGTGTCCACCTACCTCCACCAGGGCTGGCTGACGTGCTCCCAGGGGAGCGGTGACCCGGTCCTTGCCACCGGCCGTGTGTGCAGGAAGACGGGGCTCTGGCAGCCTGAGAAGCCTCAGCCCCTGCCGCCGGGGTCCAGCCGCTGGGAAGGCCGAGGGGATGGGCTGGGGGCTCCATGGAGTGTTGTCACCTCTCAATAGAGGGACACGTGGCAGGCGGCCCAGGGTTCAGCTTCCAGCTCAGGGCTTACTAGCTGTGTGTCCTAGAGAAAATCTCTTAAACTCTCTGTTCCTCACCACCTCCTCGGTAAAACGGGGGTAGTGATATCACCTACTGTGAGGATAAAGGGCTTACAACAGTCCCTGGCCCCAGAAAGTACTAAAAAAAAAAGTATATTTATCACTTAGGCAATTCAATCACTTTAGTATTAAATTTTGGTAAGTCTTAGATTTAATAGGTCTAAGAAATAATCTTACATTATTTATATTACCTATAACTATATGCAATATTTGCTAATTACTCAATGATGTGACAGTTTATATATTTACCCAATTCTATATTTATCTTTCATTAGAATTGACTTAAGAAATGTAGTAATTACTCAATGATTATATAAAGATTGGAACTATGTTACAATGATATAAATAAGGAAATAATTATAATGCGATTGTTGATTATCCTGTCATTTCCTATCTACGATCTGCTCTTGAGCACAGGCAAGGGCCGGCTGGAATGAGGGCCGGGCGTGCGGGGGGGTGCGGGGGGGGTGCGCGGTCAGTGTTGGTAGAGCGAGCGGCCGGCGTGTGAACGTGGCGGGTCGCACGCGAATGTGGGAGGGAAGGGCTCCGGGAGGCAGGTGTTCCTAGCTGCCTGGCACATCGTAGGTGCTCAAGGCACATTCCCTCGCTTGCCAGTGCCTCCTTGCTGTAAAGTTCGGAGGAACGAGAGCCCCCCGAGGGGCTTCTGTGGGGTCCGACGAAGGCACTATGGGTACTGCGAGGGCGTTCACAGACTCTCCGCGCCTCTGGTTTTCCAGGGAGAGCGCTCTACGTGGGAGCTCAGGTTCGTCCCCCCTCCTTCCTAGACGCGGTTGTTTCTCCCGGGAGGGGGCCTCAGCTGATGTGTAGCGGGGGGTGCCCCAGGAACGGACAGCAAGCGCCACCCCGGAGCGCGGGGAGCTGGGGCACGCGGCTGGCGTGTGCACGGGAGACACGAAGGCTTGTCACGGAGCCGGGCTGGGCCAGCTGTGTGGGTCGACTTCAGGGTTCTCGACAGTGAAATAAGGGGACGTGAGCAAACCTGAAATTGCCTGTGGTTGTGGAGCTACATTTCCTTGGTCGGGGGGCGGGGGACACACTTCTGAGACAGGCCCCCGGCTCCAAGCTTTGCTCTCACACATCCACCGCCTGGTTCATGGAGGGAGGGCGTGCTCTCCTTCTCCTTTTTCCAAATCGTAAGGACCCGAGGGAGCTGGAAAGAACCAAGAATCTGGAAAACAAACATCGCTCAGAGAATGGCAACAGGGAGGGACTCTGCTGTTTTCTTGGAGAGCTTCTGGGGGCGAAAATCACGGTGCGTTGGGCAGCCCCAGATGTCACCCTCCGTTCAGCATCTCCCTTCCTGTAGCACCTGCAAAAGCCTCTCTTCTGACCTCCTCGCTGCTCCTCCGTCCAAAACAAGCATTGAGCAATCGGGGCCAGTTAGAAATCCCGAGCCCGGAAATAAAGTGGCTGTTGCTTTGATGCCCTTGCATGTCTGTTCGGGGGTCCTGACAGGGGTAGAAGCTAGGCTTGCAGGAAGCAGATGGCCTGGCCCACTGTACATTTCGGAATATTTCAACTGCAAGGCTGGCCGGGCTATTGCATCACTGGGTCAGACAAGGGCCACGGGACGGAGGCCAGGAGGGGAGGAGGAAGGGGGACAAAGGGGGACGAAGGTGGGAAAAGCACCCAGTTCTCAGCCAGGTGCACCTGCGAAGGGCAGCTACAGGGGCTGAGGGTTCAAATCCTGACCGGGTTGCTGACTAGCTGCGAGACACTGGGGAAGGCCTTCCCTTCTCCGAATTTCGGTACCCTTGGCTCGAAACGATCTGTCACACCCACTTCACATGGCTGCCATGAGGGTAACTGCCCTGTCTTCAGGGGTTGCCGTGAGGATGGCACGAGGCCATCCATGCCTGGTGCTCAGGCCCGGCCCACTGCCCGAGGTGGCGCGTTGGCGCCAGGCTCCGCCTGTGGGCAGGTGGTGTGGGCAGCAACTGGGCAGACTGCTCAGGGGGCATGGAACTGGAAAGAGGGAGCAAAGAGATTCCCAAAAGGGCCTCCCCCGCCCCCAAGTGCCCACCTGCTCGCTCCCCGGGAAGCGGACCTCCCCGGAGCGCTAGCAGGCTCCCCCACACTCTGGCTTCCAGCCGAGTTGGCCAGTGGGGGCCCCCCCCCCGGCAGGAGTCGGAGGGAGGGAGGGGGGAGAGAGGCCAGCGTGTGTCAACCCCAGTCTTCTCCCTGCATCTCCCCGAGTCAGCCATGCCACTCCCAGGGCCCTGGTCTGCACCTGACTGTCCCTGGGCCCCAGGAACCATTCCCTGCTCTTGTCCCTTTGGGGGCCACCTCCTCGGGTGGTGACAGCCGTGCCCCACTAGTCCTGCGCCTGACCTTTCTCTTCTGGTTCCGAGACCAGGGCTCAGCGGATCTGGCCAGTCCGGCCTACTGCCTGCTGGTGTCAAGCTTCAGCGAAACACGGCTATGCTCCGTTGTTTGCATGCGCCCTGTGGTTGCTTTGGTACCACGGTGACAGAGGGCAGCATTTCCAGCAGACGCCGCACAGCCCCCAAAGCCGAAAACACTGTCTGGTCCTTGATCTCGGCTTTCTGGAGCAGTTTGCCGGGCTCTGCCCCCGACCCGGCCACACTGGAGAGGCTGACCCTCCGCAAATCTCCCCAGGGCGCCTGGCTGCCGATCGTTTGATCACTGGTGTTGCGTGCTCTTCATGCGAAGGAGTCTACTTTCCCGAGTTTCCGTGTTCCCGGGAGGAGAGGGTCCTGACATGCTGGTGTCAGCGACACTCCTCTCTTCTCCGAACCGCTCCGCGCACCGGCGGGGGGACCAGGACGGGGGGGGGGGGGGCGTGGCTAGGCCCCCGATTGCACCCCCTCTAAGTGTGAGCTGAGGCCGTTCGGGGGGCACCTCGGGGTCACTTCTTCCTCCCAGGGCTGCGGGAGTCGGGGTCTGAGAAGCGTCACGCATTTCACTGCATACGTGGCCCTGCTCTGGCCACCAGTCGGGGGCTCGCCCCTGGGGACGTGCAGGTATCTCTGGTTGTCACTGCTGGAGAGGTGGGGGCTGCTGGTGTCTAGGGGATAGAGGCTGGGGTGCCACTCACACCCGACAGTGCACAGGACAGCCTCCCCGCCCCACAACTAGAATCATCCGTCCCCACTGTCAGCAGGGCCAAGGTGACGCCCTGGGGGAGACGCTAATCTTCACGCAGGAGGGACAGCCTCTGCTTCGCTCTCCGTTCGATCGCTACCATGTAGCACCTGCTCAAAGTTCCTGACGCACGAGAAAGCGCTCGCCGCTGGGCGGGCCCGGGGCAGAAATGTGCTTCCTGGCTTGAAGACAGCGTGGGATCCACGTTCCAGCCCGGGACACAAGCCCTGGGGGCTCCGAGCATAGAGATGGGGCATGCGGTGGCGGCGGGGCTGGCCGGGCCCTGATGGACAGGGTGGGGTAGCTGGTCAGGAGGCGTCCCAGGCTGGGGCCCAGGCTTGCTGGAGGTGGCAGGTGGGGGCCCCTCTGGAGGTCTGGGGACGCACCAGGGAGGGAGACACCAGATTGCAACAGCCGTGTGGCCCAGTGAATGCTCCAGCCAAGACACG